GGGGGGCATGGCATATACTGCTGAGAATGAGGCTCATAGCTGAGACTTTCGAGCTTTGGGTATTTATGATATATACTCCTATGCACATTATTCATGACATGCTCGTATGAAGGGTATTGATGACGTATACTTCCATGCATGGTACTCATAACATATACTCCTATACATGATATTCATGGCATATACTCCTATGAATGATATTCATAACATATACTCCTATGCATGATTTTCATGACATATACCCCTATGCGTGATATTCATGACATATACCCTTATGCATGGTATTCATGACATATACTCCTATGCATGTTGTTAATGACATATACTACTATGGATAGCATTCATGATATATGCTCCTATGAATGGTATTTATGACATGTACTCCTGTGAATAGTACTTATAACATATATTACAATACCCACTACGAAATAAAGATTCGAAATAACGTTGCGTGCATGATTTCCACAGACCAAGAGGAACGAGCCATTACCCGCGCGCAGTGAGAGGCACGAAGCCCGGCATGAAGAAATGCAGACGCGGGAAAGGCACCATGTTCACTGCCAGCTTCCTGAGGTCGGCGTTCAGCTGGCCTGGGAAGCGGAGGCAGGTGGTCACGCCCGACATGGTGAGGGACACCAGGTGGTTCAGATCGCCGTACGTGGGTGTGGTGAGCTTAAGCGTCCTGAAGCAGATGTCGTACAGGGCCTCGTTGTCGATGCAGTAAGTCTCGTCTGTGTTTTCGACCAGCTGGTGGACGGACAGCGTGGCGTTGTACGGCTCCACCACGGTGTCCGAGACCTGTGGGGAAGGACGTTAACAGCTCTCGTCGGCGGCACTTTTGGAGGAGGATCTCCCTCCCGTTCTTGCCGTAGAAAACAAGGAGAGACAAAGGTGGATCGAGGGGAGAGAGAGAGGCAGAGGAAGAGGGAAAGAGAGAGGGAAAGTGGGAGAGATAGAAGGAGAGAGGGAGAGGGAGAGAGAGCAAGCAAGCAATTCCAACTCTTACAGTCACTCTCGCCGATTACTTTATAACTATATGTAAACTCATATCTTGTATATACTCAAATCTGTACCTGACTGCTTTTGTAATCATTATTATTGTCGATACCCTAGTTATCAATATGTGCACGTATTTCTAGCAACATACTCTCTTATCGCAAAGCTTTTTAGTTGTACAAACATATCCATTGTCCTCGCCTGACCGTGTAACCAGGAACCTTATGAAAGCTGTACTTTACATAGAACCTACTGTACACTCTTACTGAAGATTAATATTTTCCATTTTCTTATGTGTAGTAACATTTCATCCAGTATCGTACAAAAACGACCAGTGATCACCTCAAAAGCTCCAAGCCTAAGTATCTCTGATCTCAGCATCAGCTCGGTCAACACCTCAAGCTCCCACAGCTTCTAGCCTTCAATAAACCATAAGAGCCTCTGCCGATATTTTATTTACAACTTTAACTACAGCACTCTCAAGAATCAAAGCAGTACCATCACAGTAAGGACACGCCCTCCCCACATTGTTACACTGGGGGCAGCAAGTGAGACACTTCCCACACACATCATTACAGAGGGAGAGGGAGAAGGAGAGGGAGCTGGAGAGGAAGATGGAGAAAGGGAAAGGGAGATAAGGAGTGAGAGTGAGAGAAAGAGAGAGAGGGGGGGGGAAGAAGATGAGAAAAGCAAAGAGGAAAAGAATATGATAATAATAAAGAATAAGAATAAGACGAAGATGATGACAGCAATCATGAAGGCGAAGAAAGAGGACAATAGAAATTTAAAAACTAAAAGGAAGTTTCAATTCTGTATGTACAATAATGACAAAGGATGCCTTCATGAATTATCAGAGGCTTGTTTAAATGGCCAACCTTTACCCTGTATATTAAAATGGTCTTGGGCGCCTACCACGCTTTCATTTGTTAATACAGGTATGAATGCGACTGAACAGTTTTACAACATAAGGCATGCAATTGACTTTCAATATCACATCTCCGGAAGTAAATGGCTTCCTGTCATCCACACCATTCTCGACATCTGCCCCCACGAATTCGCTGTGCTCATGATTCCATACCTTTGGACTTGGCATGACAGAGAACGTGTTCATGATTCTGTCTGGGTATTCCTCCCTGATCTTGGAGATGAGCAGTGTACCCATGCCCGAGCCCGTCCCGCCGCCCAAGGAGTGTGTCAGCTGGAAGCCCTGGAGGAGGTCGCAGCCTTCAGCTTCCTTGCGCACCACGTCGATCACCGCGTCCACCAGCTCGGCGCCCTCTGTGTAGTGCCCTTTGGCCCAGTTGTTGCCGGCGCCGCTCTGGCCTGAGGCGCGGGCAGGGTTCGTGGGGAGGAGGGAGAAGGAGGAAGGTAGTTTTAGCCTCTTGGGTCAAAAGAAGAAAAGAAGATTCACCCAAATGAAGAAGTTTTGACAGCGGAAAGTCTATGACATGATGTCCGTTTCCGCTATGGAGCGTCAGTGAAGAGAAGTCATTCAGTTACGTAA